CTTGGAGATCAAGGACCTTCCATTCAGAAATGACCTGAGTCACAGACTGAGGGCAACGTGATACCAAGATGCACTGGCATCACAGGAGAAAAACGTCTGCCTCTCAAAGCACTGAGATGTTGTGAGAACCTGATCAGTTCACTGCGTTTTGTTTGGCTCCGCTTTTCTAATGCAGAGTAAAGTTTTTTCGACATTTTTTAAAGGAGGAGCCTAAGGTGGATTTCTGATTTCTAGGCCAGCCTGGTCTACAGAGTGAGTTCCTAGACAGTCAAGAACACACAGAGAAACCCTGTCTTTAAAAAAAAACAACAAACCAAACAAACAAACAAAAAAATAAAACATAAACACAGGAGTGTAGGAGGAGAGGCAGACCGCCCTGGTCATCTAATGGTTTGACTTACATGTTTGACAACGGTGAGTTCATTCCATTCTGAGTAGGAATTATACTTCCAGTTTTAATCTGTTTCTGATTAGCAGTGCGAGCTGTGACCCAAAGTCATGCCTGTGTGACACACTTCCCACCAGGACTTTCGTCAGTAATGAATTTACTGCCTTGGTGTATACACGGAGCTAAACAGCTGACATGATCCAACTTCGTGACAGGTCCACCGTCTTAATCCCAGGTCACCCGTCTCCAAGCTCACCTCAGCCTTTGGCGAACAGTCATGTTGCCGTTTCCAATTCCTGACTTTGGCTTTTCAACCTTTCATGCGTACACGCTTCTTCCACATGAGGGGCTCTTCCACAGATGAGTTTGAAAAGTTCTTTCTCGTCACCTTTCATAGACAAACAATATCTCCAAACTTAAATTAATTTTTATCTTATTTTCAACTTTGCTTGAGATGTCTTGCAGATAGCAAAACAAAGACATGTTTAATTCAGTTTGGGAGTCATTTTTCCTTAGTTTTAGCATCAGATATAAAACACCCATGTTTGATTTTTTTTGATTATTTATTCATTTGGTTTACTGGGAAAGGCTCTCACTATATAGTCCAGGCTGGTGCTCAGCACAGGTTCCTCCCGCCTCAGCACGGAGTGCTAGGGCCATAAGCACACAGCACACTGGAATTCTGATATAACAAGACTGCACTGGTTGCTGACATCTAGTTTTCTTTCTTCCTCACATATGACATTTACCATTTTTCTAGATTGTTCTTGTGCTGAACAGCTTTCTATTTTCCTCCTTGACCAGAACTTCCCGATACCAAACAGCTTCTAAGATTTTTTTGCTAAATAGTTGGGATACACATATTCCATACACACTTTAATTTCATGAAGTTACTTTAAGGGTGAATATATAGTCATCAGTGTGGATGAGGTTGGCTTGTGATTTTTATTCTCCTAGTCTATTTGTTGCTCTTTCTCAGGGTGGAGAGGAATGAGGTTCTCAGGGCCTAATGAAGGGAGAAATAGTCCCCTTTTCTGCTCCTTTTTAAAGTTTGATAAGGCTAGTGCTATCTTTTTAAATATCCCAAGGTTTTACTTATAGAACAGATAAGAATGTGTAAATGTCTATGTCTTCTTATGTATATTTCTTCTCTAGACATTTGGATATTTTGCCGACACTTTTGAAAAGCATTGAATTGTTTCCATTAATGTTACTATGATTGTTGTCATTTTCAAGATGAGCTGTGCTACTCTGTGATTCTTGCCTTATTGATATTATTTCCACCTTTGATTTTTCTTTTTTTTTCTTTTTTTATTTTTATTAAAATAAATTATGTCTTAGAAACATGCATGTATGCTTCACATGTCAGTCCCAGCTCCCTCTCCCACCCCTCCTCCCTTGCCCCTTCCCCAGCCTTCCCCCAGCCCTCCTCCCAATCCCCACATCATTCCCCAGGGAGGGTGAGGCCCTCCTTGGGGAAATCTCCAGGGTCTGTCATTTCATCCAGGGCAGGACCTAGGCCCTTCCCCATGTGTCCAGGCTGACAGAGCATCCCTCCATGTGGAATGGGCTCCCAAAGTTCATTCGTATGCCATGGTAAACACTGATCTACTACCCAAGACCCCAGAGATTTCTGAGGCCTCCTCACTGACACTACATTTATGGAGTATGAGTCAGTCCCCTGTTGGCCTCTCAGGCATCAGTCTGGAGTTCAAGAGCTCCCCCCTTGTCCGGTCAGCTGTCTTTGTGGGTTTCACCAGCATGGTCTTGATGCCTTTGCTCATCACTCCTCCATCTCTGTCAGTGGGTTCCAGGAGTTCAGTTCAGTTTTTAGCTGTGGGTATCTGTCTCTGCTTCCATCAGTCACTGGATGAAGGTTCTAGAATGACATATAAGGTAGTCGTCAACCTTATCATCAGGAAGGGGCTATTAATGTAGTATCCCCGCTATTGCTTAGTTTACTAGTTGTGTTATCCTTGTAGACCTCTGGAAATTTTACTAGTGTCAGATCTCTCCTCAAGCTTATAATGACTCCATCTATTATGGTATCTCTCATCCTGCTCTCCTCTATTTTTACCTCGACTCAACCTTCCTGCTCCCCCATGCCTTCTCCTCCCCTCCTCTTATCCCTCTCTCTTTTTCCTGGTTCCCTCTCCCCTCCCCTGATGTTCCCAATCTGCTCAGAAGATCTTGCCTTATTCTACTTCTCTGGGGTATCATGCATATCTCTTGGAGACATCCCTGTTTCCTAGACTCACTGACACTGGGATTGTAGGCTGACAGTCCCCTGATCCTTGTCTAAAATCCATATATGAGGGAGTACATACCTTGTTTGTCTTTTTGTGACTGGGTTACCTCACTCAGGATGATTTCTTCTAGTGCCATCCATTTACCTGCAAATTTCAGGATTCCATTGTTTTTTTTTCCCACTGAGTAGTACTCCATTGTGTAAATGTACCACATTTTCTCCATCCACTCTTCAGTTGTGGGACATCTAGGTTGCTTCCAGGATTTAGCTATTACATATAATACTGCTATGAACATAGTAGAACAGACATCCTTGTTGTGTGAATGTGCATCTTTTGGGTATATGCCTAAAAGTGGAATTGCTGGGTCTTGTGGTAGACTGATTCCCACTTTTCTGAGGAATCTCCATACTGATTTCCAAAGTGACTGTACAAGTTTGCAATCCCTCCAGCAATGGAGGAGTGTTCTTCTTTCTCCACATCCTCTCCAGCATAAACTGTCATTGGTGTTTTTTATTTTAGCCATTCTGACAGCAGTAAGATGGTATCTCAGAGTTGTTTGATTTGCATTTCCCTAATGGCTAAGGATGTTGAGCACTTCCTTAAGTGTCTCTCAGTCATTTTAGACTCCTCTATTGAGAATTCTCTATTTAGCTCAGTCCCCCACTTTTTAATTGGATTCTTTGGTGTTTTGGAGACTTGCTTCTTGAGTTCTTTGTAAATTTTGGAGATCAGCCCTCTGTGAGATGTGGGGTTAGTGAATATCTTTTCCCAATCTGTGTATTGCCTTTTTGTCTTGCAGACTGTGTCCTTTGCCTTACAGAAACTTCTCAGTTTTGGGAGATCCCATTTATTAATTGTCGATCTCAGCGTTTGTGCTACTGGTGTTATGTTCAGGAAGCCGTCTCCTGTACCAATTCGTCAAGGGTACCTCCCACTTTCTCTTCTAACAGGTTCAGTGTGGCTGGACTTATGTTGAGGACTTTGATCCATTTGGACTTAAGTTTTGTCCATGGCAATAGACATGGATCTATCTGCAGTCTTCTACATGTTAATATCTAGTTATGCCAGCACCATTTGTTGAAGATGCTATCATTTTTCCATTGTATAGTTTTAGCTTCTTTGTTGAAGATCATGTGTTCATAGGTTTGTGGATTAATTTCAGGGGGTTCAATTCGATTCCATTGGTCTACCTGTCTATTTTTGTGCCAATACCAAGCTGTTTTCAGAACTATAGCTCTATAATAGAGTTTGATAAAATGGAAAGATCTCCCATGATCTTGGATAGGTAGGATCAATGTAATAAAAATGGCAATTCCGCCTTTAATTTATTTTTAAAGAAATTATCTTTAGCTTTGTTGATATCCTTTATGTTAAGTTTTTATTTCACATCCACTTTAAAAGCTCTTTCTATTTTCAGGATTGGGGCTTAATATATTAACATCAGTCTCCCTCATTTAATTAAAGTATTTGAAGCCACACTGTTCTCTGTGCCATGTTTGTAAGTTGAAATGTGTGCTGGCTAGCTTGTCAATTTGACCAAAGTATAGTCATCTGAGAGAGCTTTGATTGCAAAAATGTTCCCATAAGATGAAGCTGTAGACAAACCTGTAGAGCATTTTCTTAATTAGTGATTGATAGAGGAAGGCCCAGCCCATTGTGGATAGTATTATCCTTGGGTTGTTGGTCCTGGGTTCTGTAAGAGAGTAGGCTGAGGAAGCCATTGGGAGTAAGCCAGTAAGCAGGGCCTCTCCATCGCCTCTGCATCAGCACCTGCTTCCAGGATCCTGCACTGTTTGAGTTCCTGTCATGACCTCCTTAAGTGATGAACTGTGGATGTGGAAATGTAAGCCAAATAATCCCTCCTCCCCAACTTGCTTTGGTCTTGGTGTTTCATCACAGCAATGGGAACCCTAACACCATATACCATGCCTTATTTTTATTTTCTAACTTTCTTCGTAGTATCAACAGGGTCAGTGTGTTATTTTGAACTAATATAGTAGATTTGTTTCTGAATTTCCTAATTTTCAATTGTATGAGGCTTTGTTTTTGTTTTTATATTTTGAGGGGTGTGTTACAGTTTGTTCACATAGAGTCAGAGAAGAGTCCATCCCAATGTGTCAAGTCTGACCTTGTGGCCACTGCCATGTCCTGTTCCAGTGTGTTTGAAGGAGAGTCCCACACAGTGTTTGCACATTAAATCCTCCCCTTTATTGTTAATGTTCAGCTTCCTACACGCAGCCTGACTTTTAGTCTGCTGGTTCTAACTATTAAGAGACATGCTAAAGCCTGGTGGTGGTGGTACACACCTTTAATCCCAGCTCTTGGGAGGCAGAGCAGGCAGATCTCTGTGAGTTCAAGGCCAACCTGGTCTATAGAGTGAGTTCCAAGAGAGGCTCAAAAACTACATAGAGAAGCCCTGTCTTAAAAGACATGCTAAAACCAAAACAAAACATAGGAGCAAACAAAAACCCCTTTTAGCATGGCTTAGCATGTGGAGAGATTAGCCTGTTTTTCAGTGGTCTGCTTACTGTACTTTACATATTGTGAGGCAATACTGAATGGTGAGTTTAAATTTACGTTCTTCCTAGATAATTACAATTTTATAATTGAAGTGTACCATTTCACATCTTCTAAGAAGGACTCGTTTGACAGACAAGGGCCTAGGAACACAGGTTTCAGGAAGCTGACAGTTGTATGGCATATTTTTCTGTTGTTTCATTTTCAGTAACTGAATGTGTACCCTGACATCGTATGTCTGATTTAGGCTGCCTGCTGCCCCACTTTATTCAGACTGATGTCTTTATCTTTTAATTGGGCTGTTCAGTCCATCCCTACTTCATGTAGCTATTAATACTCTGTTTCAAAATCTCCATCTCATTGAGTGTTGGACTACCTGCTTGGTCTGCTTCATGTTCCTTTTTCCTGTCTTTTCCCTCCCTTGAGGCTTAGTCTCTGAGCCTTCCTCTGGTTTCCCCTCTGTTAGTATGAGTGTGTTATACTCATTTGATTATTCTTCTAGTGGTTAGTCTCGAGAAAGAAACAAATATACCTAACTTATCAAAGTCTAGACCCAATCACTCTATTCTCTTTAAGGGCAATGTAAGAAATTACAACACAACACTCTCATTCCACTTGTCTTAGTTTAGGAGTCTTCACTTTTGATTGTTACATGTTTCTGTAATAGGTATGTCTGCTCAGAAAGCTATCCTGGAGATGTAGGTTAGAGATTTTTTTTTTGGACAGTCTATTGTTTCTTTCAATAAACAGAAAAGTGAATGATAAAAGGAGATTTCCTTTATTGCTCTACCTCAGTTGCCTTTTTCTGAACCAAGAACTCATTTCAGGAATTTTTTTTTCAATTGGCTCTGCCCTATCATTGATTGTTATGATGGGTTGCTTAGAAACTCAACCACATAATGCTGAAACAGTGTTTCTCTCACTGAATGCATAGCCTTTTGTTTGCATTAGTTTTGATTCCTCCCATCAAGGTTTAGGTCCTGTTTTTCTACTTGGTTCTCTTGTGACTTGCTTTGACAAACAATATTATAGTCAGGCTTGCACTTTCTACAGGGGAGAGACTAGAGGAGGATATGAGACAATCCTATTGAAGCCATCTTATGCTAGGCAGGCCCAGCCAAGCCCACAGCCAACCAGATAAACAAATGAACTCAGTAGAAAGACCAGAAGGGTCCAGAGAAGTTCACTTACAGTATTAGCCTGCATCGTTGTAGGCTAAGCAAATTATTATTTTAGGCTACTGAATTTTGATATTGTTTGTTACACAGCAAAGGCTGACTGGTAGATAAGTCCTTTCTTATTCAAAACTTTTATTCTCAGAAGAAAGGAGAAAGGAAAAGTTTAGATGGTTTTCAGATTTGGCAAATTAGAATTCTAGCAATCTGGGGGTAGGGAGGGAGGCAATGGCAAGTGTGGGGAATGTCACCAACATGCTAAAGCTGCCCTGTGTTAGTGAACCATTTTCTCAACCAGTAATTCTTGGAACAAAGCACTACAGCATTTTAAATCATTAGTGAGTCACCATGGTGGTTTCATTTTGTGGGATTTTTCTGTTCATTGTCTTGTTTTACTTAATGTCAAGTTCTTGTTTGGCAATGCAGTAGCCAATGATAACACTAAAATTCCAGAAAAAAATATGATTTATTTACAGTTCTGAGGGGCTGGAGCTCTGTGTAAATAAACCAGAAGCTTTAAGTATTAATAATCTGTGGAGTAGAAATTTGGAACGTATGCTTGGAGGACCTAGGTTGTTATAAATTATCAAGAGGGAGGAAAAAGCTCCAGGGAGCTGTGTTTAACTACTGTGTGTGGAGGGGTGGGGTGGAGGGAGGACGAATGAGGATTATAAAAATGAAAGCTGATACTTTGAGTATAAAACTGAGATTCTAGAAACAGGAATGAGAGAAATGGAAAAAAAGACATTTGTGTGATGTTTTGGTTATGCTGAAGACAGGAAGTTTCAGGGCTTATTAGTCATGGTTAGTTTTGCCTGGATAGAATAAAATCAGAAGGAAGTGACACTTTGAAGTCACTAAGAAAGGCCTGAGGTCTGCCTGCCTTCAAAATTAATTCACAATTTGGTCTCATTGCACTCATCTACAAAATCATAAAATACATTCCATTAGCATTATCCAGTACAGTAATGTTAACATATTTCTGGTATTTCCGAAGATGTAATTTAAATCAACATTTACATGAAAAAATATTTATGATTTAGTTAAAGGACGAAGCACTTAGCTAAAATAATGATCAATGCAACAATTTTCTCCAGAGACTATATCTAGGTATATAAAGTCAGCGTAAATATTCACAATCAAGTTTCATATCATTTTACATGTGACTTGGTCCTCAGCCTTGACCTATATTTTTTTTCTTTTGAATGACGGGTCTATTATTAAAGAATGACAAGTTAAAATGTTGTCATTTCACATTAAAATGTAGATCACTGACCCTTCTTCCTTCCTTCATTACCATTGTCCCATATCCTAAGACAGAAAAGGAATCTGTCACCAGGCAGAAGAAAAGAGGCTAAATGAAGCCTATATTTGCCAATTCTATGGTGAGGGAAAACCACAGCTTAACTAACACATAATTGGGCAAAGGCAAATTCTTAGACTAGATAACCTAGACACAGCAAAGTATTACACAAAGCGAATTTCCCCCACCCCTTTTTAAATTCATGCAGATAGTTTCCCCATCCAAATTGTATGTGTATCTGCTGGCAGGCAAGTTCAGGTAATTGCCTCCAGGTGTTTGCCTGCAGGAAGTCATTGAAATTCAGTGCCAGCAACAGCAGATTTCTCAGCAGCAAAATCTAACCTGCAGGAACCTCCCAGGCACAGGTACATTTCAGAACAGCAATGGTAACTGGTTGGCAGGCCCTAGACCCACAATGCCAGACTTAAGAGAGAACAGACAAAAAGGAGGAAGGACTCATTAACTAAAATTTAAGGTTAAAAGCAGATGTTCCCTGGCTGTTAGAAAAGTTTTTAAAATGTTACTCCTCTCCTGGAGAAGATATAAACTATGAACGTAATTACTCTTCTCTTGAAATCTTGCTTTCACACACAATCACACTTTAAAATAATTTCTTGCTGAACAATAAACCACAGCCTTTGGGCACTGTGCCTAGATACTTCCGGACACTCAATTAAAGGTGGTAGACCAGTAGCTTTTAGCTTAATTCCCCCACTCAGAGGACACAAAGCTACAAATGCAAACCAAATATGAGTATACAGTGTAATAAAAACTTAGGCGTGAGGACCAGATCTGAGAAAGAATCTTCAGCTGACTGTGGGGAAAGCTAAACAGCTTCCTTCTCTTGTCTTTTAAAAAAGAATGTCAAAATAGAGATTCAGCAATTAGTATCAGGGTTACCTCCAAAAGTTGCTTTGCAGCTGGACCTCAGGACCCTCTTCTGATCTCTTGGAGTCAGATCCTACCGGAGTTGAGATATTAACTTCCTGGAGTCAGACACACAAGATGGTACTATGACAGGGAGGTAGAACGTTTAACTACATGCTGAAATATGTCATATTTTTCATCCCTTTGTCATCTAGACATCTCTCCCTCCCTCCTTCCCTCCCTCTCTTCCTCCCTCCCTCTCTCCCCCCCCTTTCTTCCTCTCCCTCTCCCCCCCTCCTTCCCCCCTCCCCACATATACATGCACACCAAGAAGCCTTTTCTGGGTAATTTGACCAGCCCATGAGGATGAATCTGAAAATACTGACCATAAAGACTTCAAAAGAAGTGTAAACCAGGCCAACTTTCAGGGAATCTCCTGGTCAGTGCAGAGCAACCACACATAGGGAAGGCTCTGAGTCAGCTTTTTGGGTGCTATTCCTAGTGAGATGGAGGTTACCAGGATCTCAGATGTGAGGACAAGAATTGGAGAAACAGCAACAGGAGGAAGCAGACAGTCTATGGAAGAATAGGAATGGAAAACTGCCCTTAGCATTCCAGAGTAAGATGTTAAGAGGTAGAAGAAAGGGATTTTTAGAAAAAGATTACCGGGGTGTCCTTAGATATTAAAAATTGAGTTGTGAAAATGAAAAAAAGCAAGGAAAATGTTAGAAGACAATGTAGAGAAATTTTCAGATGAGAAGTGAAAGTAAAAAAACAGACAATAAAAGTTAAAAAGACAAGCCAGGTGGTGGTGGCATGAGGCAGGTGGATGGATCCCTGTAAGTTCCAGGCCAGCCAGGTTTACAAAGCTACACAGAGAAACCCTAAACAAAACAAACTAACAAACAACAGAAAGAGATAAGAGGCAGTGGAGATGCCTAGGCAGTATAATGTCTGAATTGTTTTCTGAAAGGGCTCAGAAAAGATAAATAGGAAAATGATGGGGCTATCACTTGAAAAATATTTTCCTCAAATGAATAACATATTTTAAGCCAAAATTTGACCAAGAGAGCCCAAAATATAATAGTAAAAAGAATTAGATATGTCACTGTGAAACTTAGAATGTAGGGATGAAGAGACCTGACTCTGAGCCCCGAGAAAAAAGACATCTCACACAAAGAATGAAGATTCAGAGCATCAGGAAACTCCTCAACAATCTGGAAGCTAGAGACCGTGGATTTAGTGCCTTCAAAATTCTGGGCAAAATGTCTTTCTGTTCTAGATTCTCTCTCCAACTGAAGTGTTAAGTTAAACCTAAGCATCAGATGAAGGAGATATGGAGTAGAAAGTCTCCAAGAGCTTTGTTTTTCACAAACCCTTTCCGGGAAGCCTCTGGAGGGTGGACACACCCAAAATGAAGGGATAAACGCAGAAAGATGAAGGCATGGAATCCAGGAAATGACTGCCCAGCAGGGGAAAGGAGAAGGTGATTGTCAGGATGGCTGTGAAAGGGTATCACAAAACTAGCAAGTCAAACCTCAAAAGCTTGGACAGAAAATAGGCATGGTGGCTCACATCTGTGACCCTAGTCCTCCAGAGAAACTGAGGCAGGTGGAGTACAACTTCAAAGCCAGCTTGAACTACAGAGTGCAATTCCATCACAAGTAAAATCAGAGATAAAACAAGACTAATATTATATACAGTGAATTTAAATGTATTGATATGCTTAGCTAACAGGATGAATTAGTAAATGCACACATAGCCAAGTGAATTTATAAATCGAGGATTTTCTTTAGGGAGCTGAAATCACAGTATGATGTTCAGGTTGGCTTTGAACCACATCCACAGTGACATTCAGGGTCATGAGAAGAACACTAAAAACTGACTGATTACTCAATCGAATGCTGCTCCTCCGGGGCACCTGGGATGCGTGCTGTAGATGAAAGTGAGGTAAAAGCAATCTGCTTGCCAGTGTGATGTCACTATCACTAATATTCAAAAGTCAAAATTCAGAAGGATGCTTGTATTATATTGAGACACTTGCAAATATACAGTGACTGGCTTTTTAAAGAACTGAAGCTATTGCTCCTCGGAATGAGAGAACAGCTGCTAAGAGAGCATTTTGTATCATACCTTACTACCATCTAAGCCTCTAGCCCAACCTTCCTGATGGGCCACCTTTTAATACAGTTCCTCATGTTGTGGTGACCCCCAACGGTAACATTATTTCATTGCTACTTCACACCTGTCATTTTTCAACTGTTATGAATCATAATGTAGACATATGATATGCAGGATATCTGATATGTGACCCCTGTGAAAGGGTCATTTGACCCCTGAACGGGTCAATACCCACAGGTTGAGAACCTCTGCTCTAACCCTTCAAACTTATGAGGACAGGGATGTGGAAGGCACAGGTGTAGAATATTAACCTAATCATCTTTGACACGTCTGAGTTGAACTTGAATAAAGGAATACATATTTACTTCAAAATACCTAAGGATAGAAAAAGGTACAACAGAATGAAAAATTCTCTCTGGGACAGCAGGAAGCCTTTCTGGGATAAAGAGTACAAACAAGAAATGAACAAGATAGAAAAAAGTCTTGTATTCTGCCTTTGAAGACTTTATTGGGTCAAACTGCATTGAGAGTCAACAGTTTTATAAACATCTTTTTAAATGGGGATGGGGTGCGGGTGGCTCACTCAGTAACATACTTGGGTGTAAAACCTTCAGGACCTGAGTTCAAATTCCTAGCACCCATAGTAAAAATACAAGTACGGTGGCACACATCTGCAACCCCAGTGTAGGGTGAGCAGAGACTAGTAGATTCCACCAACTAAATGGTCAAGCAGCCTAGTCACAACAATGGACTTTTCAGTGAGAGACTTTGCCTTAGAAGGTAAGGTAGAGAGCAATTGAAAAACATATTCTATGTGACCCTGACACACATGCATGAAGATAAATGTGCATTTGAACACACATACACACAGAGAGAGAGAGAGAGAGAGTGTGTGTGTGAGAGTCACACAAACACCACACACAGAGAAAAAGAAAATAAATCAGGCTTCATTGTTTCAAGCCGTTTAGGTATGAAAAAACTGAGAATCTAGCAGGGCGTTGGTGGCACACGCCTTTAATCCCAGCACTTGGGGGCAGAGACAGGTGGATCTCTGTGAGTTTGAGGCCAGCGGAATCTACAGAGTGAGTTCCAGGACAGGCTCCAAAGCTACAGAGAAACCTTGTCTGGAAAAACCAAAACCAAGTCAAGCCACAACAAAGGAGAAAACTGAGAATCCATGCATACCCCTTTCTTCTAGCCCTCATTTCACCCTGTTGCTAGCAGTTTTGAATGGATATAATTGATGGGGCAACATTGATCGATTATTACCACTAGTCCCTGGTTTAGACTAGAGTTGACCTCTGTGTTACACAGCCCTACCCAGTGCATTCCAAGTATCTTTTCCTGTTTCATCTAGAAAATGGTTTTGATTCATTGATTCAGCACATTAGAAAGATTAAACCAACAGGTAGATTTTTGAATTTGTAGTACTGTTTCTATATAAGATTCAAAGCAATCATTGAAAGGACCACTTGTTTGTGTGGGGTGTGTGTGTGTGTGTGTGTGTGTGTGTGTGTGTAAGAGAGAGAGAGAGTGCACACGTGCACAGGTATGCAATACTTTTGAATAGTTTCCAATCTGTAGGTGCTAGTCATGTCTCAATGTTTCCTCAAAAAAGCAATTCAAAATAGTTTTTCGTATTCTTACTAAGATTTAATGCTCTGGAAAATATATCACATGCTTCTTGAACAGATAAAGTAGAAAGGGACAAAATGCACATATTGCGTTTGTTCTCAGATTGATGGCTTAAGTGAAAACCAGGGCATCCAGCCTGTGCTCTAGGATAGACAGGGGCCTAGGAAAAGAAAATCTAGATGCTGTGACTGAAGCTTTCCCTAGATCAGAGATGCTATGTGGTTTTCTTCATACCACCTTAAGTGGGAAAACTATGAACCAATGAAGGAGCCCATAAGAAAATGGATTAAAGACTGCCTAAAAACTTGAGTTCTATAATTAAATTTTTATTATCACAAAGTACATGACCAGAAAACCTGTCTACAAACCATAGATTGTACTCTACATCAGGTCCCAAGTAATCTCCTCAGAAGTAGGTACTGAAGAGCAAAATAATTTCAGGGTCAGGGTAGGTGATATACAATGCATATTTCTCAACCAATCAGACAAAATTACATAATCAATTGAATATGACACATTTTCTTAGATGGAGAGTTCATAGCTGATATATATATATATACATACATATATACACACATATATATATACTTGGTTGTTAATTAGTTAGTAAGGAAGACATAATGGGAGTATCTATAATAGAGACATGAATTATCTATACCAGAACAGAGAAACAGAATATGCCAGTCATAGCAACATTGAAGTGACAGGTATACCTAGTTACTGCTACAGTCTGGACCAGCAACGACTACTAAAGACCCCTGTGCTGGAGTGTGGTTGTCAGTTGCATGACTGGGAGTGGGGGAAACCTTCACAGAGTGGGGCTTCCTGTAAGGAAGTTAGGTCACTGAGGGGGGCTGCCTGGAAGGAAAGGAACTATGGGACCCAGCCGTCTCTCTCCTCACCTCTTTTGCTGGACCACTACGAAGTCAGCGGCTTTAATCTGCCACGCACAGTCCACCATGATGCCCTGTCTCACCACAGGCTCTAGCAACAGGCCAACCTTCCATAGAGTGCAGCCTCCAAAGCACTGAGCCAGCTTGAACTTTCCCTCTTTTTATTGGCTGAATGTCATGGTTAATCATAAGCCATCCAATCAAGGGGGAAAAAAGAGATTCATCATCTGCTGGTTGTTTTCTTGAGGTGTGTGTGTGTGTGTGTGTGTGTGTGTGTGTGTGTGTGTGCTCCAGTGTATGTGCGCGTGCGTGTGAAATAGCGGTAAATGCTACTTTATACTACTAACATCTGTGTGTCACCATGCCTTTGCTGCTTTGTATGAAGTGACTTCAGGCTACTGTAATCCATTTGAAGTTAAAGAATCTGAGGTTCTGCTTCAACAAGCAGCAGTAAGAGTCACAAAGTGGATGAGTGAAACTACCTATCTGAGGGGGCCGCTTTCTGCATTGCCATATAAAGCATGAAGGAAAGGCACAGAACAAATGTAAGGGGTGGAGGCAGACATTGGACACAGGAGCAATGTGGAGGTGGAGTGAGTGAGTGAGTGAATGAGTGTGTGAGTGAGTGAGTGAATGAGTGAGTGAGTGAATGAGTGAATGAGTGAGTGAGTGAGTGAGTGAGTGAATGAGTGAATGAGTGAGTGAGTGAGTGAATGAGTGAGTGAGTGAGTGAGTGAGTGAATGAGTGTATGAGTGTGTGAATGAGTGAGTGTATGAGTGTGTGAATGAATGAGTGAGGAGTGTGTGAATGAGTGAGTGAATGAATGTGTGAGTGAGTGAGTGAATGAGTGAGTGAGTGAGGAGTGTGTGAATGAGTGAGTGAATGAATGTGTGAGTGAGTGAATGAGTGAGTGAGTGAGTGAATGAGTGAGTGTGTGAGTGAGTGAGTGAATGAGTGAGTGAATGAATGTGTGAGTGAGTGAGTGAATGAGTGAGTGAATGAATGTGTGAGTGAGTGAATGAGTGAGTGAGTGAATGAATGAGTGAGTGAGTGAATGTGTGAGTGAGTGAGTGAATGAGTGAGTGAATGAATGTGTGAGTGAGTGAGTGAATGAGTGAGTGTGTGAGTGAGTGAGTGAATGAGTGAGTGAATGAATGTGTGAGTGAGTGAATGAGTGAGTGAGTGAGTGAATGAATGAGTGAGTGAGTGAATGTGTGAGTGAGTGAGTGAATGAATGTGTGAGTGAATGAATGTGTGAGTGAGTGAATGAGTGAATGAGTGAGTGAGTGAGTGAGGAGTGTGTGAATGAGTGAGTGAATGAATGAGTGAGTGAGTGAGTGTGTGAGTGAGTGAGTGAATGAATGAGTGAGTGAGTGAGTGAATGAGTGAGTGAGTGAATGTGTGAGTGAGTGAATGTGTGAGTGAGTGAATGAGTGAGTGAATGAGTGAGTGAGTGAGTGAGGAGTGTGTGAATGAGTGAGTGAATGAGTGAGTGAATGAGTGAGTGAGTTAGTGAGTGTGTGAGTGAGTGAGTGAATGAGTGAGTGAGGAGTGTGTGAATGAGTGAGTGAATGAGTGAGTGAATGAGTGAGTGAGGAGTGTGTGAATGAGTGAGTGAGGAGTGTGTGAATGAGTGAGTGAGTGAGTGAGTGAATGAGTGAGTGAGGAGTGAGTGAGGGGAGAGCGAAACACAACTGCAGGCAAGATGGATGGAGCTATGCAGGGAAACAAGGATCTTCAGAGAAAAGCAGCTGAAGAGAAGGCTGGACACAATCTGCTGGATCACGCTGAGGTTTGAAATCTAGCTACAGAGGGCTTTGCACTAGAGGGAAGGGAGTTGCAGGATCAAAGCATCATTGTAGGAGATAATTACGGTGGTGTGCCCGGGTAAAAGAAGCCAGGCATGTTTGGACTCTGGCCTTCTTTGCCAAGTTGATGTCATGGTGGACAACTGCCTTCTCCCCACTGACACCCTTAGGTGTTAATATTGGCAGCCCCAGAGGGTCTTGGGAGCAACCTGCTACTGAGTCTTCTATGAAATGTAATAGAGATGTGTTTGCTTTTCATCTTTATCTATCTTTTGAAGAAGACTGAGGGAAAAAAATTTACAGTGTGTCACATTAGGCCTGTACAAATTTTCTAAATGCCAGAATAAAGCCTAAAGCTGGGGGGGGAGGGGCACGTGAGAAGAGAGGGGGAGGAGGGCTGCTTCTGAGAAAAACCAGACTTGGAAGACACTGTTTGAGCCGAGGTCAGAACTGCAGGATGTAGGCAGTTGCAAAGAGATAATTCTGATTGCAATTAGTCAAGAAATCTAAATGCAAGAAGCCAGGTGTTGGGGCAATAAAGTAAAGGAAAGTAGTATTTCTCATCTGAAGATGAGAACACTTGTAAATATTAATAGAAATAATTATAAGTGGATTTGAGGGCAGATGTCTCATCACGTTCATATCATCTAATGTATGTAGTCATTCTTGGGGTTTGGAATAAGCCATTTACTTCAAATGAGGGAGCAAAAAGGAACACAGGCATGGCAAGTAGGTACAGGTGAGAAAACAAAGGCTTACTTACAAGGGTCTGGGCACTGGAGAGATGGTGTAGCAACTAAGCAACTCATGCTTACAGGGAATGTGAGTTCAAATCCCAGCTCTCATGTTGGGTGGATTGTGGTTCCAGCTCTAAGGGATCCAACCCACACACACACACACACACACACACACACACACACACACACACCAAAGGCTAAAGGGAAAGGTCTTTAATTAGCTATTTATTGAAGTAGGTACTTCCAGATCACTTAAGGAGCACACATTTCTCTCCTGCGGAACATCTCCAGGAAGCAGGTCATCATCACGGTCTATTTTACCCATGAGGACAGTGTAAAATGTTTCTTAACATATTTAAACTTAGGTAATGTATCTGGGTTGGAATTTGGTCATGGAAGTGACATTAAGATATCTTTCTCCTTTTATAACCTCTACATTAGCATAGAAGAATGCTCCTTTTTACTTGATTGCTATCCAACTGGCCAATAGTACATGCCACAGTCTCAACATTGTCATATAGACTGTCACCACAAAAGCAAGGAAGCTTCCAGAAGTTGTCGGTATCAAGAACTCCAGACTGTTCAACTCCATCCAGTATTTCGGAAGCACCTCAGAATTTCTCAATCGTTTTATAATTTTATTTTTAGTCTGTATTCATATGTTTGTTTTTGTAGTGTAGTGGCACAAACCCCATGGTGTGCACATATTAGGCAAGTACTCTACCCACTGAGCTACAGTTCATGATTTCTCAGTTAGACACTTGTCATTCTCACTCAGGCTCCCCATGAGGCGATATACTTCGAGGATCATGAGCCACTATCATAACATTTGTTTTCATCATTTTTCACATATGTGTTTGGTTGCGTTTTAGAAATTAAGACAATCTGAGATTTCTTAAGCAGAAATCTTATAGGTTTTAATGAAGAACAACTTTTGTGAATTTGTTTTTCATTGTATCTAAGTACATACAGGTTTATCAGTTGCTCAGTAGATATGTCCAAAGAATGCCGTTATTGCATCAGTAGAAGAGATGGTTTTGGAAGAACTATTCTCCTCCTGTACATCAAGCCTTGTTAAAAGAGAAGTATACTTTTAGAGTTGTAAAAAACCATGTGAGACATTGGTAGACAGCTTTTGCCTTACTTTCTTGCAAGTCGCTTTATTTTGTTTCATGTGGTGGACTATGGGACTTCCTGAGAGAACACTGTTTCGAAACTCTTGTACCATCCCAGCCCTGGAAGGGAGGAGTACTGTTGTGATTCTCCTGTTACCATGTGAGCCATGGAATTTTAGGACCAGAAGATTCCACAGCAGGTGGGAACCACAGCTGTATTAGTAGCAAGGAGAAGACAAATGTGTGTGTCTTGTTACTCCAGCTCTGAACACTCTGCACTGAGACTGTGCCAAGATTTGCTGTTTGCATCAGTATCTTTTATAATTACCAACCCTTGTGTGTGCAATCCATTAACAGCAAAAGAAGAAGAAGAAGAAGAAGAAGAAGAAGAAGAAGAAAGAAGAAGAAAGAAGAAGAAGAAGAAGAAGAAGAAGAAGAAGAAGAAGAAGAAGAGAAGCCCTTTCAAATAAGATCTATACTGTTTTTAGGTTAAATAACCATCTGCCTAGATGACCTCCTGCTCCAACCTTATTTACATGTCTTATTTTAACCCTTGTTCCATTTATTTTTATCATCTCTCATGAATAAAGTTCCACCTCCTCTTGCAGAAATTAAAATAGTTGAAAATTTTGAAAAGTGTTAGAAACAGATAAAAATTGTCCATAAGCTAGTACTGTCTTGTCATTAGTGGCTAGCCTGTGTTTTTCCTCCTCCAGCTCATCTCTCTAATGGTGAGTTAACACTACCTTTCCATAATATTCCAGTTTTCCCACAAGTTGGACTTTGATTTTCTTGGCTTCCTTTATACCAGTACCCAAAGACATTTTGGCATAATAGGAATTACCACGGTGGAGAGAGGTGGAAGCAACAAAAACACAAAGATGCCAATAAACTCAAAATCACAAATCCATAACCATGGGCTTCTATAAGCAGAAAAATTGACAAACTAGTACAGAATAATACAGTGGGGAATTTAGGCAAAGGGAAAAATTGGTGGCTGAATGGTTATTTGCCAGAAGCAATTCAGTTGCAAAAATCTGATTCAGGGAGCAGGCATGTGAGAAAGGTTGTAGAACCCAGTATTACGAGTTGGAAGCTGCTGGCCTGGGAGGTTTGGGAAAGCGCCATCTCAAAGATGTCCAAGACACTGGGAGTCTTACCTACGGATGAACATTCTAGCAACAGTGTCAACTTTTCAGCCAACCTGAGCGGATCTTGTCTGCTGGACCTGGGATCTGAGAATCTGGAAGAATGGGGCAGACCAAGGTTTAATGCTGTAGATGATCTCACTTCAGTTTTAGAGAAAGCGTAAAGTTGAGTTCAGAAAGACACGATGATCAGAAAAAATACATGTAAAATAAACGTCACTAGGCATATACTAAGTATTAACAGAGCAACCCTTTCCCAGAACTTTCCCAGGACAGATCAATTTAAACAAAAGTGCCTGGCATTTACTATAGATTATATCTGGGAAAGCACAAAAGCAAGGCCATATCCAGATTCAGGGCACATTGACCAGACTGGGCTCTATACTGAAATTCTCACATCTAATAAGAATAAACATGCCTTATAAACTAAATGAAAATGTAAATGTCTGTCACAGGAGGCATGGAATCACAGCTGAGGACAACCCAGTGAACAAGCTGCAGCTGAGGTGAAGACCCTCTGCCTTTCTTCCTGGAGCCTCTCACAGTTCCCCAAGCATCATTCACCATGGGTCGTTCCTTTGACCTTATTCCGACAGAGCAGTACAAGCACTCAGGTTCTCTTCCATTTCTCACTAAGAATGTGTATGCTTTTTAAACCTCTTTAATCCGACAATTACAGCAACCCAGAGAGAAAAGGTGAGACACGTGGGTTGAATTAGGTGGAATTACTTGACATGATTTATTTTTATTTTTATATGTATTTTTTAATTTTATTTAACTTTTTACACATATTACTCTCAGTTCCCTTTCCCTCCCCTCCTTCCCTGGCCCCCCATTCCTCCCAACTCCCCATCCCACTCCATCTCCCTTCTGTTCCCCATGGAGGGTAAGGCCTTCCATGAGGGATTTTCAGAGTCTGTCCTATAATCCTGGGTAGGACCTAGGTCCTCCCCCATGTGTCCAGGCTGAGAGAGCATCCCTCCATTTGGAATGGGCTCCCAGAGTCCATTTGTACACCAGGAATAAATACTGATCTACTCTCCAAGGTCCCATAAATTGCCGAGGCCTCCTCTCTGACACTCAGGTTGGGGGTGGTGGTGGTCTGGATCAGTCCCATGCTGGTCTCTCAGTCATCAGTCTGGGGTCCATGCATTCCCCCTTGTTTAGGTCAGCTGCCTCTGTGGGTTTTGCCAGCCTGGTCTTGATTCCTTTGCTCATCACAAAAATAAGTCACTTTTAAACTTTTACTCCACGGTATTTTTTCTCACTTTTTAATAGACAGATACTTCCTTCATTCCCTCTTTTGTCTGTCTTCCATTTCTCTTCCATTCACACAAAATGCTAAGCTACTGGAAGTCTATTAGACCACGGTAGATGAGAACTTTTGTTTCTAAAATGATAAATGAAGACTATGAGCAGGTGAAGACAGTGGAGCGACTGCTGAGACCAGGGAAAGAGTATTGAGGAGAGCATTTGGGGGTGGGGGACAGTCTGAGAGTTCTCCACGCATGCTCTCTCAGTAGTTTGCTGGTGACAGCATACAGTCCGTGGGGCCATTCCGAATTCCAGCAGCCTCCTCTGTAACCTGAGGAGATCTCTTTAAGCTCTGTTATGCAACTTTGAGTCCAGAAATGAAAGTTTGGAATGATGTTTGTAAAAAATGATGAACTAAGAAAGGAGCTCATTTATATTGACATGGGAGATGAGTAGGATTCAGATTCCAATGTTCTTTCATTGCACAAACATTGTTCCCACATTGTTCTATGTAGGAACAAAAACAGTGGGAAACAAACTAGGCCTGCTTATCCCAAGCCCTGTATTCTATTTTCATTTATTTATTTATGTTTGAGACAGGGTTCTCTGTGTAGCTCTGCTCTACCTGGATGGGATTAAAGTTGTATACTATTATGCCCCTTTTTTATTCAAGGGTTGAGGAATAATATACATGGAAAACAATTAGATAATTTGAGCATGTTAGATGTTATAAAAGAAATGAATGGAGTGACAAGACAGAGTTTGTATGTGGGGGGAGACAGCAACCTATAAAACAGATTTGTTTACCACTGTATCTGTGTACACAGATGGATTTCTATGGGAAGTTTGATAACTCTTCCTAAAAATGTATTTTAAGAGTAAACTGGGTATTGTGGCACACTCCCTTAATTCCAGCACTCAGGAGGCAGACACAAGAGGATCTCTGTGAGTTTGAGGCCCTCCTGGTCTACCTATGGAGTTCCAGGGCAGCCAAAACTACATAGAGAGACTGTATCTCAAAATAAACAACAGAGTTATTTAGTAGTAATTTTTCCTAGTTGCAGAAATCTAGAAGAAAGTCAGGATCTTTACTAAGGCAGGCAATACCCCCTTCCCAGGTTGGCACAAATTCCACTCTTCAGGATGGCTTAAAAAAGCAATTCATTGTGGGCTTGGGTTAAAATTTCCTTAATCCCACCCAGCACTGGGACAGAGGCAAGCACATCTCTGTGTGTTCTAGGCCAGCCTGGGCTACATAGTGAGAAACTGTCTCAAAGAAAACAAAAGAAGCCCCAGAGAAAACTCTTGCAAGACACAGGGCTGATTGTGCCCCCCCACCTCAGGCTACTATATATGGAGTTAGGGACTTCAATAGTAATTGGAGTTAAAATGATGTCATAAATGGAGCCATGGGATTAGTGTTATTTTATTTCTCAGTTTGAGGGTATGGTCCATCTCAGATGGGAAGACACCGAGGCTGTGGTAGGGACAACCAAGGCACCTCGCCATCTTACTACTCCCAGGAAAGAAGCCAAGAGAAGACAGGTAGCAGGGCCTGCTATGAAGCCCTGAGGCCTGCCTTTGGTCACTCACTTCTGCCAGCAAGGCCTTACCTCCTAAGGATTCCACAAGCTTCCCAAACAGAGCCACCAGCTAGATACCAAGTACTTAGGATCTTAAGCCTAAGGGGGTTATTTCACCTTCCATCTACAGAAGCATCCTTATAGGGAGAGTGACCAGAGCCTTCCTCTCCCGTGTGTACAGACCACACCCAGAGAGGCCCTGTGAAGACTCACCAAGCAGGCAGCCGTCTGTAGACCTCAGTAGAAAGCAATCTACTGCAAACTTCATTTTGGACTTCCACACTCCAGAACTGTGAGGGGGATAAATGCATGCTATACTGCCTGATATCTTCAGCCAGTGGCCGTTTGTTATATCAGCCAGAGCAGACTGATACCGGGGCTTGGACGGTTGTACTTGTTTCTACATAATTTCATCACAGGTCAGTAGGGATTGGTTTTGTAGAATGCTGTTCACCCACTTCCAGGTGTTTCTCAGTGTGCCACCTAGGACATGGTTTGCAAGGAATCCTTAGAACTGCATGCAGCCCATCTGTCAATCATAACTACCCTTCTTCCAGACTGCTTAATAGGCAGTACAGCAAATAATATTCATGAAACAGCCATACTTAACATTGAACTAGGTATTTTCCAACTGAGCTAGCAGCATGGAATTAAAGAAATGTGTGTGGGGGTCTATCCTTCTCAAAATTAGATACATTCAAACCCAAACACTTTTCTCTTTACTCCTCCTAGTCTCAAATATCCCAACAATTACACCTTTATGCCACCATGCACCAATGTCTCAGAACTTGAATAGCTTCTTTCCCTCTCTGCTCCACAGATGAGGAATATTATAAAGTTAGTATAGCCCATTTCCCATAAAATACAGCCTTTATGCTTTAGCCATCCGAATCGTCTCTGGATCCCAGTCGTGAATGCACCGTGCACTAACTCCATAGTCCTGGCAGATTATTTAGCATTCTAGAAATGGGGTGAAGGAGAAACGGGAGCAGGAAGCTGGGGCTGCCACCACTGCCACCGTCACAACAGCTAGTGTTACTATCGCTGTAGTCTGTGTACTTCAACCACAACAACTTTGCTTAAAAAGACCATTCTCCGTCCAGATGTCTCCAAACGACTACCAACTGCTTGCAGTATCATGCCGTAATTCCTTCCAAACGATGAATGAGTTGGCTCTTCGCTAACTGCCTGGTGCCAGTTCACTCTGACAGCTACTATTAGAAAAACCAACCAGGACAGCCCAGGTGCATGACTCCCATCTGGGTATGAATAGAGCTCCCTTCCCTCTCTCAGTACTGGCCAGTTTGGGTGTCAGTCACTCCTCTCTCACCTGGGCTTTCTCCTCCAGGGAGAAAATAAGCCCTTAGAGTTCTCTCCTCACTTAGTAGCCCCTTCTCTGGGTTTGAGAACTGTGCTTTATCTTATTGGCAAATCCCAAACGTTCCCTCAAAACACTACCGAGGACTCACCCTCTTCTGGAACTTTCTTTTGGACAGATTTTTTCCCTCCACCCAAAGATCGCTCAGCAGTCATATAAATAACTCAGAGTAACTTTAATTGGCTCTGTTTATAAGCTGTGGCATATATCTATTCTCCCTCCAGGTATTTTTCCATGTGTTTGTGCTGTCTCCATTAATTTGTAAACTCCCAGAGGGCAAGGCCTACACACAGCCTGGCGCTGTCATTAAGGGCATGTGCCAAAGAGGATGGATGAGAGACCGTACCTTTTCCTTTATCGCTAACCTGTTCTATTTCTGATTTTCAAAACATCTTCCCTTAGTAATGGTTCCGAGTCTGGAAACGTAATATAAAATATATATCCAGGTTGAGCTAGTGTGCAGATAAATAAAATAAAACCTAGAGTTACAAGCTTTTCATAACAGAAGGGGGAGGGTGTGCAGGTATTTTGACCCATAGGGGAATCTTTAGTGTATTATTATAGTTTATCATCTTGGAAGTTGTATTCTTGTCTCTTCGAGGCTGCAGGAATCTCTGAGAGAGAAAATAATTCCAAGCTTCCAAAGCTGAGCTCTATAAACTGAACAGAGCCTGGAGAAACATCCCGACGATCTCATTACAAGTTTGTACTGTGAGTGGAAGGGAAAGAATGTAATCCGGAAGACCTCCTTCTCTGATTCCAGCAGGAAAAGTAGCTCAGTTCCAAGACCAAGATCACTAGCTGGGAGAGCCTCCTTCAGCTCAGGTGATGACGGAAGTCCGCAAAGGTCCTTCTTTTCCAGCCTGGGTTAGGCCAGGGATTCCATCTTCTGGCCACCTGCTGCGCTGGCTGCTAGCAGCACCCACAGGGGAGAATATCCGACTCTTACCAGGCTCTGAGCTCAAGGTATAACCCATGTAGGCGGTTCACTAGATAACATCAAAGCTACGAGCAGGGGCCAGAAAGGGGGTGGGGGGGGGAGAGAGCAGCTCAGCGAGGGAACCAAGCGCCTCCCCCAGCGTTTCCTCTCACGCCCACTTCCAACCTAGGAGGCTTTTGGTTTCTGCTTTTGTTGTTTTTAAAATGAAAAGTTGAAGCCAGGAAGCTTGGGAACAGACTTTTTGCCTTGCAGTTCGGTAAGTTTTCTTCCCTCGGTTCTTTTGTCTGCTTGGCTTGGAAAGAGCCCGGTACTAGGGGACAGTTGCTGCGGAGCTTGCGGGGAAGGGCTTGGAGTCGGGTCGCCCCGAGTGGGAGGTGAGGGGGAGGGGAGGGGACTCGTTGGTGGACGGGAAAGCCCAGCGTGCAGGGTGGAGGGGAGGGACTGGCGGCGTGACCCAGGGCCAGCGGGAGGAACCTCCGGGATCTCCGTGTGGCGGTGGCGCTGCTGGCCGCACGGGGCGGAGGGCCGGAGCCGCGGGGCCGCGCCAAGGGGGAGCCCGAGCCAGGCAGCACCCGGCGGCCGCGTGGGAACCCGGGGTGGGGAAGGAGCGGGCGCGGCCACGGCTTGGATGGTGCTCTCCCCAAACCGCTCAGCGGGAGAAATGCGATCAGAGCCCCCACAGGACTCTACTTCTTCCAAGGGGTGCAACATAGACATTTCCATGGCCCGCTGGATAAGAGAGGGGGGCTGGGAGGCTTGGAACCTCTTTGCTTAAATCTAGAACCATCACCGGGATCCCCGTTGTTCCAGGATTTTTGACAGTTCAAGCTGAAGTTTACCACCCACAGGCTAATCGGGATCACACATCCAGTCCCGTTTATTTGCTATATAGTCTGAGGACCTATTATTTACTGTGTCACGAAACAAGCTATTTATATATAACATAGCTGCATCCCCCCCTCGCATTCTGGCATGAAAGGAATCGCATCTAGGGAATTAAGAAAACTTATAAGGAAAGTGTTTTGTATTATCTGTCTCAGAGACAGGTTTTAATATCTGTTTGCAGCTCAAGAAAATATAGTGAAATGACGATTCAAAATCAGATGCAGTTTGTTCAAACGCTCATAGCATTGCTATACCCTAAAGACACACTGGGTTCGTGGATGTTATTTCTGTTGTGTTTAGCAACTATCGCGTTAAAGAATGCACCTTGGCACTTAGCTTTTTTTTTTTTTTGTCCCAAGTAGTACAAACTCGGCTTACGAAGAATGTGTCTTTATCCTAATACATTAGCTATAAGTTCACATCTGTGTGCATGTTTAGCTTTAGATTCAAACAGCCCGACTGGGGGAGGGGCGCTACATTATATGCTTTGTGAATCTGACCCATTGGGTGTTTCATTTAATAAAATAGATGCTATCCCAGTGTAAAATTAAAATGGCACTATTTTATTGTAGGGCTAACATAGCATGTTACCCACCATCGGAACTTTCTAGTTGCATGATCTTTGCTCCTATGACCAAATTTACTTTCTCGTAGGCATATTTTCCCCTTTGCAAAACATTATTTTTGGCTCTAGGCTTGTCATTACTGCATATTCCATTTTTAATCATTTCCATTCTGGGGCTTTGAGCTTTTCTTAGCTCGAATGAGCTCGAGGTAGGACTTCCTCGGGGGATTTTAGGGGTCAACCGTTAGCAGGAACGGCCTGGACATCTTTATGAAAGCCTAAGGGAACAAAACAAGTTTGCACAGATGGTCAGCAGTTAGTAGGCGTATGGTCGTTTAGCAAAGAATATTTTTGTTTTGCGTCTCTCTCTCTCTCTCTCTCTCTCTCTCTCTCTCTCTCTCTCTCTCTCTCTCTCTCTCTCTCTCTCTCTCTCTCTCTTTACACATTTTTCTTTCCAGCTTTGAGGTGGCCCGCTAAATCAGTCACTTCTGCGGACTTTTTAGCGGATGTGTGGAACTTTTAAATGCAGACTGCTAGTGTTCTTTATGTCTAACCTTGAAAACCTGCCTCCTTCCTCAGATTCAGCTCTCCTGATATTTCCAGAAGTTTCCAGTCCCCTTTCTCTAACACTTTCTAACAGCCGGGGTCAAGCTCTGGTTTGTAGTAAATTAATCTGTCTTCCCATTTCACTCCCCCAGAGTTCCAGAAGCCCGCTGGGCGACTCCGCCCCGTACCCCCTCCTCGGCTCCCAAAGTTCCCTAGCGGGTTAGTCCCCCAGCTGTCAGGCAGGCTAGGAGGGGTTAACTGCGCTCGGCTGCTTAGACTCTGGGAAGCACCGGCTCTCTCTGGAATAACCTTGGCTTTCCTCGGTCTTTTAATAGAACATCCGCCACCAAAAAAGTGGTTTCATTTCAGGACTTAATAACACATCCCCTCCGACCCTCTAAACCAACACCCCGCCCCCTTTCTTTCTCTTTTTTTAAAAGTTATTTTTCAAAGTTAATGAGTTTCAAGTTTCACAATGATTTCCCCTTCCCTTTACTTGGAGCTGAGGAAACCCCCTTGGGGTCCCCCCTCCCTCCCGGGTCCTCCTCCTCCCCACTAGGGCCAGGGCGAGGGGCGGGGCTGGGAGACACCATGACGTCACCGGGCCGGCCCACATCCTGCTCTAGAAAGTCAAAAGACGGTAAAGAGAATCGGGCGCCGCCCGGCCCCGCCCCTCCTCCCGGGCCAACCGCCCCCGACTGCGGCCCGGCCGGGCTTCCCCCGGCCGCGGAGCCCCGCCTCCTCCCCCGCCCCGCCCCGCCCCGCCCCTCGGGCCGCGCCTCCTCCCGCGTCCTGGGTCCCCGCGGCGGGGCCTGCGGCGGGCGGGCGGGCGGGCGGGCGGGGCGGCAGGGGGCCCCGGGCCGGCTTCACGCGAGCCCGCCCTCCCGCCGCAGCCCCCGCCCCGCCGCCCCCGGGGATCCCCTGCCGCCCCGCCCACGCGCGGGGGAAGCCGCCGACCTTCGCCCTGGTCGCCCTCGCGCTGCCAGCCGTCCTCACGGACACCCGGGAGAGGTAAAGGCCGCTCTCCCGCCGGGTCCCACCCGGTCCCTCCCGCGCCCCGCTCGCGCCTTGGTGCCCGTCGGCTGCTGGAGCGGGCTCGGCGGGGATTGGGCCGGGAGAGGAGGTTTTGCTTGTGTCCCGGTTGTCAAGTGCAGCGCGGCTCCCGACGGGTGCGGGCGGGGTGCGGGCCGGGCGCGGCGGTGGGGGCGCTGCACCCGGGAGAGCGCAGCGCGGGGGGCGGGGGCCGGGACCACCTCCCCCTGGCGGGCGGGTGTGCGTGTGAGTGTGTGCGCGTGTGCCGGCGCCGACCTTGCGGAGGGGATGCTGCGTGCGGGAGCCGCTTGCCACTTCGGCGGGTTCTGGCCGCACGGGCGGCGGGAGCTGCGGTCCTGCGAGTCCAGCAGGTACGGAGGGCCGGCCTCCCGGTCGCCACCGCCGCTTCTCGCAGGAGGACTCGGCGGAGCTGCGGGAGACCAGGCCGCGGCTTCCGCACCTCCCGGCTTTGTGGCTCGCTTTCCCTTTCGTTCTTTGCCCGGAGTGCCTGTTTACTCCGGGCCACCTGGGTAGTTTCTCTCCGGGTAGGGCGCGCGCCCGCCGCTGGTGGATCGGGGGCGGTGGGCAGGGGCGCGGGGCGGCTCGGGCTCGCCGCGGGGTCGGGCTCCGGCAGGAGTTGCGGCTAGAGAGGGAGGGGGCGGCGGCGAGGCTGGTGCGAGGAGGAGTCTCAAGGCTGCCGCGCTCGCCTGCTCTGTCCTCCTCCTCCTGCTGCTCTCCGCATTCACTCCAGGCTCCTTCCGGAGCTGGCACTTCCATTCCCCCCTCCTTCTGGCATGCGAAGCGCTTTGTTCAGTGCGGCGTTGCAGAGGGGTTTTCCCAGGCTCCGCCCTCTACATTCATTCATGTTTTTTCTCTTGCAACTGTCTTTACGCTTTTTGATCATGTCCTGTTTTTGCACCTTGTAGTATATTTTTCTTTCCCGAGAAAGAATGGTTGATCACTCCTCCTAGTCGGTACAGTGCTGTCGTCTTTGAAAATAACCACTTCTCCTCCTTGGATTTAAATATGGGCTGGACAGCTAGGGACAGGGGGTGGAGGCTGCAAAACCGGGTCGCCCAAAGCTGTTACAGGTTGGGAATTTGCATATTCTACATTTGTGCTTGGGAGCTGATGGGGCGTCACGTGATCGGCTTACAATCAGAGTTTACGCTTTAAAAACTTAGTACTATTGTGATCGCTTAGAAGCTTTAGTTTTTATAAGGAACGGAGCATTCATATGCTTTTTCAATTCTCTGTGCAGTCAAACCTTCTTGAATTCGGTATCTGATGCCTCTGTGGTAACAACGGGAGTTGAGGAGCACTATCTTTTTGTAGGTCATTAGCTGGTGCTGCAAGAGACATCATCCATCGTTCACCGTCGTGTTTCATATTCTTCCTCCTGCATTAGGTTTTATAGTTTGCGCTGTGCCTGTGCTGACTAACAGCTGTGTTAGGAATACAGCCGCAAGCACGTTAGTTGTAGCCCCCTTTTCCTTATGCGTTTTTGCTAAAGTGAAAGCACACATTTCTAAAACCTTATTCTGGGATAGTTAGACACATTCTTTCCCTTAGAGGCGTTCTTCCCTGGAATTAATATTTCAGCATTTTCGTGTGACTTAGTCCGTATAACAACCCTTCTGAGGTGGATAATGTTTCCCGTTTTAAGGCTTGGGAAATCTGATCTTTTCAGAGAGGTTAAGTACCTTGAACAAGGCACTCAGTATGGGATAAAGCCTGGCCTTGAACCCAGTCTGGTTTGATTCCAAAGTATGTCCTCACAATTTGCTGTGTCATTCATCCCTTTGGGAGGGGGTTGTCTAGGGTTGGTAGGTGTTACCTTCTCTGAGGAAATGGGCATGGAGTCATGTGGGGCCACATTCCATAGTTAGTGATCTGAGGCAGATTTCCCAACCTCTTCTAAAACTTGGTTTGTTTGTTTGTTTTGTTTTTCTGTAAAATGGATGAATTGGAACTCTTGTCTCAGTTGTTAGGATTAAATTGTGATAGGTAGAAATTCTACAGTAAAACAAGTACCCATTACCCACTAAGTGTTCTCTTGTGCCCTGTGCTGTAATAGATATGAGAGGTTTTAAACAAAGCGACCTTAGTCTGTTCCTTATGTTTGCTTAGTGATTAAACTTTGTTTCACCTTTAGTGCCAACATAATGGGCTTTGCTTATTTATCAGCATTGTTGCAGGAAGTGAAAGCTAAAATTTGAACTGATTGTTGGGAAAGAATCTAATGGAAGAGACCTGGGTTGCTGATTTGGGCATATGGATGGTTAAGTTTCAGGCACATTCAACCTTCTGACATTGCAACATAATGTCATGGTTCACGAACCTTGCAACAGAGTTACAAAAAAGAAAAAAGAAAAAGAAAGAAAGAAAAAAGAAACCTTGTAATGTTTTAAGTAAGTTTACTATTTTTTGTTGGGTGACATACTTAGAGATCCCCAGTCAAACTTGGTTACTGGCCATGGGCCGTGGGTTGAACAGCCTGATGGATAATTACATAATGGCATGAGGAATTTCAGATTGCTTTTGAAAAGACACAGTCAGGACAGACTAGGTAACGCTGCCGTAACAAGTAATTCCCAGGCCTCAGAGACTTAAAAACAACAAAGGACTGCTTTTTGTTTAGACAGCGTGATCATATTGTGTAACTGGCATTGCAACCCTTTAGTAATATACAGGACTGGAACAGTGCCTGGCCTGTGCCAGAGGGGACAGAATGCTCTGGAAGATCTTTCTTTGATAACTAAGTGCAGACTGCATGGATGTGAGGCATGTCTGTGGTCTACTCAAAGGTCAGCATGCAGCTGCAGATCACAGGCATGTGCAGTCCTGCCTTGAACCTGGAATGGAGGCGTGCCATCACTGGGGAGCAGCCACCATAGCAACTGTGCGTGTTAACTGAGTCAACTGAAATGACATGACCAGGACATTGGGCTTCCTTTATAGATGGGACATGGACTGTGTACAGCATGCCTTTTTGTCACCGTACACTACTATCCTTCATTGTAATTCCAGTAATGCTATTTTCACTCTAATTTATATCTAGTGACTCTTTGTTTCCCTAGTTTTTTTTTTTTTTGTTTGTTTGTTTGCTTTTATTTTTCAAGACAGGGCTTCTTTGTATAGGTTTGGAGTTTGTCCTGGAACTTGCTCTGTAGACCAGGCTGGCCTCGAACTCACAGAGATCCGCCTGCCTCTATCTCCCGAGTGCTGGGATTAAAGGCGTGCACCACCAACGCCTGGCTTTTGTTTCTCTTGTTTATCAACAAGGGGGCCTAGGGAGTGGCAAGATAACCTGTCCTGTGCTTAGTTAGAAGCAAATGATGTTCGCAGAGGTTACTTTTTCTTGTGGTTTGGTCAGCACTGCACTAAGTGCTTCCAACTTTTTGGCATCACCTTTTCTTTTGATAGTGAGATTTACTTCTTTTATCTTTTTCTTTCCAGCACTTGGATTAACTGAGGTGGGACAAGTACATGGAGTCATCCTTTTGTAACCTGCTCTTCCAGAAATTTCTAAGAAGAAAAAGGAGCTCTTAAATCTCAGAAAATGCCTCGAACAAAGCAGATTCACCCCAGAAATCTCCGAGGTAAGGCTCTGTGTTCAGTGAAGAAAGTCTTCCAGTGACCTCAACATCAGTGGCTGTGGGTTCCTCAGACACTGAGCCTGCTTCATGGCCAGCTCCATTGGCTTCAGCCTTCCTTGTCTTACGTAGTAGCTGTCCTTTATGTGTTGGATGAATTAATTCCACAGAATTACAGTTTTCCAGCTCAAGGCTGAGATAGATCATTTCTTAGCAGGAACTATGGAATCTAAAAGGGATGGTTGCTATTTTCTGATAATCGAATTGCTGTGATTTTATCTTCATGCAATAGAAAAATCCCTCTGTCTGTTTTGTGTCTATGAACCCTGTCCTTCAAACGTGTTAGGCAGGTGCTGCATCAGTGAACTTTCTTTCTATATTCCCTTATCTAGCAGAGATTTACTTCTGTAAATTGTATCAAGATGAAGGAGTGGAGAAAGCTGGAATTGACATTTACACAGTATATTGTTTGCAGGTGTCAGAACAAACTGACTTATTTTCAGCAAAGAAGTATCTCATCAATATTTGTATTGAGGTCTAGCTTGAGGTTAGGATGTGGGCTTAACATGCTTGAGGCCCTGGGTTCTATTCCCAGCATCTACAAAACAGCAAAGGATGCATATAAAACACATTTTATACAAACACTAGAGGGTAAATGTTTTTCCTTTAAAGGTAAAGATATTTATTATCAGAAAGAAACAATTTTACTGTATCTGTGAAATGATTTGTACTGTTTTGATGTGTTTCATTCACCCAAAGTAGAAGTTATATTTTCCATTTGACTCCAATATATAAGAATTCAGCATTATTGGACTTTAAGATCTTTCAGTTGGCAAAATGCTTGCTGTGCTATCAGGAGGACCTGCGTTTGGATATCTAGAAGCCGCGTAAGACCAGAAGCGGTAGCACAGGTCCTCTAATCTCAGTGTGTGGCAAAATGGAGGTGGAAATAAAATGCCCGTAAGCTTGTGGGCCAGACAGTTTAGTGTAGCTGGACACCAAGAGGTCTGGTCTCAGAAAGGTGGAAGGTCTGTGGCATGTGCAGACCCCTATTCACACGTACATGCAAAGAGATAGGATGCGTATGTAAAGATTGTAGCAGTGTGAAGGGAAGAACTGCTCAATCAATAATCTTAAGCACAATAAAACACGGTGGGAAATAGATTCATCTCTTAACATTACAGCCACACACAGGGAAATACACTGTTGGTGGTTCTATTATACAAATGTATCCATCCACACATCTTACATGGTCTAGCCTACTGCACACCTAACCTATGTGCTTTAACGTATTGTTCTTAGGCTGCAAACATGGGAATGTGTATTAAGTCTGTATATAGGCAAGGGCTGATTAAAACTTTTCCATTCATATCCTCTTTTCACTGAAGAAAGTTTAATAAGCTCTTGGTTATTATAAGAATATAAAATAGGTGTATAAAGTAAGCATCTAATAACAGTCACAATTTTTAAAAATACTTTGTTTGTATATGTATATGTATATGTGTGTGCAATTACCTCAGCAGCCAGAAGAGGGTGTCAGGGCCCCTGGAGTTACAGACAGTTCTAGGTACCCAGTGTGTGGGTTGGTTGGCAACTGAACTCCAGCACTCTCAGAGATTAGCAAGTGTTCTTAACTATCAAACCATCTCTCTAGTCCCAAATCATAAACGTTTAAAAAATAGCTTCATTAATTTTGTCACTAAGATAAGAGAAAATTTGCATGCTAAATTTGATATGCTTATTTATTTTTACACAAAATAATTAGGTCTCAGATGATCATTTGATACTACAGGATGTGGAGCACCTGTAGGGTTTTCAGTTGATTGATGCTTTGAAGTGATGCTGAGAACACTGTTTCACATGATACATGGTACCAAATGGCAGAAGTATGGTTAGGGCCATGTCAGAAGTCTTTGGAAATTCTGTCCTAACCCCCAAAATTTTCTATTTACTTATTTGTTTTAGCAAACTCAAGTCAGAAACTGAAACAGCAATGTTTACAATCAAATATTTTAACACTAGCAATACAGCACTAAGATCAATACTAATTTGATACATGCATGCTATGATTGGAAAATTTTAAGTTGTCACATGTTTCTAGAGGAGCAGAAAACTTTGGACAGTTTAACAGGGAAGTCTATAACATATAACTGTTTGGAATCTGAGCCCAGATGCTTCCTTGATTGTGTGATGGTGGGTTTGGTACAAAGCACACTTGTTTTGTGGCCAGAGCAAGGCTGCAGTACAGTTCATGCTGAGCACTGGCCCCCTCCCTCCACCCCTATTTTGCGTTCATCATGTATTTGGTTTCCTGTTAATTTTGGTCTATGCATGTTTAGAAATCTTTTTACTGTTGCCAAAGGTTTTTTTTTTAAACCCCCCAC